ATATTCAGGACTGAATTCCTTTAGGATTGATAAGGGAACATGGCACACTTGAAAAAACTACAAATGTTGAAAATGGTTGGAAACAAGAGGTGGTGGGAGGGGGGACAAGAAGGATAGGTAAACAGAACAGAAGATACATGGATCAACTAAGAAGGCTCTTCTGTGTCAAATTTTTTAAAAGACATTCTGAAAGCAAGATAATGATAAAATATATCTAGAAGAAGTAACATATTCAGAGAAAAAGGGGATAGAATTTGTTTGGTTTGTCTCTAACTACTGGAGGTGCTCTGGGCTTTCAGGAAGGATTCTGTGTGATTTAATTTCAAGGTGGTGACAGAAGAACTCTACCTTCTTGAGGCAGGCTCCGGAACCCTATGTAGGAATAGCAAAGATCATGTACCAAAATAACTGGGGGACAGGTGGGAGTGGCAAAAAGTATTAGATCCCAGTGGAAGTAAAAAGGGGCCTCTCCCCTTGAGATGGCTTCTAGATTGATTGAGAGCTCCAAATTAGAAGAAAACAATGGTAGCACCATCATTTTATAACAATATTCACACACTCATGTCTGGGTCAATGGAGCAGAGATGGAAATGTGGTTATGAAGGCTGATCAGGTTGGAATACCTTGGGGCTTTTTTCTTAGAGCTATGGTTTATATCATGAATTATCTGGATAATTTCTTATGCTTAAAAAGTTAATTACACGGCAGTACTAGGGAGAGGAGCTGGTGACCAGGTGTTGTGCTGGTGCTGCTAGAAATTGATAAAAGCTTGTGTGTTACCTCAATGTAAAAAATTGTTAGATAAAAATGAGATATTCCAAAAGATGCCCAATTAAGTAGTTTAGGGCATACTGGAAGAAAAGTGTAAGCCAACAGCACACTTTCCTTTTAAAATTTGTATGGTTTGTTGGCATTGTGATATGAGCAGCTCAACTTTAAGATATTCTTGGATCTTGGCATCCTAGAATTTATTGTAGGAAGAGACCCAACAGAGAGCTGTGCAAACAGTGTGATGGTTATCGGGGAGGACTGATCTGACAGTTACGGATAAATGTTGTGAGGTGTTCTAAGACTCAAAGTCTAATATCTGGGTAGGCACAGACATCATTTAGAAAAATGTCAGTGGCAGGAGGCTTGACAATGAGGGATCCCAGAGGTAGTTCAACTCAGAAATTCAACTCAAGTCAGAATCTTGAGATCAGTCCCTATGTGGTGTAACTTCTGCCAATGTTGGGAGAGGTATTCTATACTTCAGCCAGCAGATACTTTCAATTTCCTCAATTTGTCATGCTCTCTGGAGAAGAAAATGGCAACCCACTCCAGTATTCTTGCCTGGAAAATCCCATGGACAGAGGAGCCTGATAGGCTATAGTCCATGCAGTTGCAAAGATTTGGACACGACCAAGTGACTCCACTTCACTTCACCTTTGACCTTTAGATCTTTATTAATGCTGTCCCCTCTGCCTAGAATCTCCTCCAATAACATTCTATCCTTCCCTTGTCAAAGAACTTAGGCCATGATAACCATCTGTTTATGTCTCCTTTGGTAAATCATATTCTACACGAGAATGGGGCTTGTTTGTCTCATTCTCCATCTTAGCCCCAGAGACTAGTACAATAAGCTACCTGTTCAGTTCAGTTCAGTTCAGTCGCTCAGTCATGTCCGACTCTTTGCGACTCAATGAATCACAGCGCACGAGGCCTCCCTGTCCATCACCAACGCCCAGAGTCTACCCAAACCCATTCCCATCGAGTTGGTGATGTCATCCAGCCATCTCATCCTCTGTCATCCCCTTCTCCTCCTGCCCCCAATCCCTCCTAACTCAAGGTCTTTTCCAATGAGTCAACTCTTCCCATCAGGTGGCCAAGGTACTAGAGTTTCAGCCTCAACATCAGTCCTTCCAATGAACACCCAGGACTGATCTTCTTTAGGATGGACTGGTTGGATCTCCTTGCAGTCCAAGGGACTCTCAAGAGTCTTCTCCAACACCACAGTTCAAAAGCATCAATTTTTCGGCACTCAGCTTTCTTCACAGTCCAACTCTCACATCCATACATGACCACTGGAAAAACCATAGCCTTGACCAGACGGACCTTTGTTGGCAAAGTAATGTCTCTGCTTTTTAATATGCTATCTAGGTTGGTCATAACTTTCCTTCCAAGGAGTAAGTGTCTTTTAATTTCATGGCTGCAGTCACCATCTGCAGTGATTTTGGAGCCCCCCAAAATAAAATCTGACACTGTTTCCACTGTCTCCTGTAGTTTCACATAATTATAATGAATGAATGAATTAAAGAGAGAGAAGCTAGGTAGGCTTGAGTCTATGAGCTATAATTTTGTTTAGCAAACATAATTCAGCATTTTGGTTCCTGAGGAGAGCTAGCATCTTATTTTGGGGGTAACTGGAGAGCTTTTGTGTGACTAGGGCCAATATTGATATAGTTCTGTGATGATTCAGGAAAATTCAGGCCATAGGGAAGATTATACATAAAAAGAGATTATTAAATGAGACTGGAATTTAATAATGACTAAGACTCTTGAACATGGGAGAAATTAGACAAAATTACTAGTCCCAGCTAGAGGATGTCCTACCTCTTCAAAAGTGACCTATAACGGGTTCTATCAGTAGATCCAATCACATGAAAATAGAGAAAAAGCAGGTGAGGACTGACAAGCAAGAAATATTGCATAGAGAATTACAACTATTATCTTTAACTAGGCTGATATTTTGTAATGATAAAGAATGTGAGGATAAAAATTTATACTCTAATGGTTTAGAGATCTAGAGTTAAGCATGGTTTGTATGCAGTTACCAGCAGAAATTAATATGGCATTTTTGTCATCCTAGCTTCACTACTTATATCTGGTTAGTGAGGCCTACAATCCTCGGTTCTCATATATGCTAAATGGAAATAATGTATCGGGAGTGCCAAATTCAGGGCTTCATATACAATAGACTCAATAAATAGTACCTGTTGTAAATGTTGGCACCAACACTCAGAGGAACAGAATTTGTCATGTTTTTGTCCATTCCCCTCTCCACTACCACACACACCCTTTCTCAAACACATATACAAACATTGGTAGATTTTCTGAGATTTTCTTTGAGTAAGAAAAAGACTAGTAACTCTCTCTCAAGGAGCCTGGAGCTATGTGCCCGTGAGTAAGCATGCTGTACACTAAATCACTAACAATTGCATATCCATACGTGTAGTCTGACTCTGAAATTAGGAACGTGACATTGAGCACCATACACTGTTGTTTCTCAAATTTTGTGGGAACCCATCAAAATAATAAGACTTTTTTTCCCCCTTTATCTCTTTCAGGGCTCTTAGCCTTGGCTGCACATTAGAATCACCTTGGAATCCTTTTAAAAATAAATAATGCCCAGATTCAATCCCAGAATAGTGATGTTAGAACTCCTGGAAACAGGGCTCAAGCTTGGGTCATTTTCTGAAGGTTCCAGGTTATTCTAATGTATTAATTCCACAAATCTAATCTGCTAAGTCTGTGGAGACCATAGACTATAGCACTGGCATCATTAAGTAGCTTGTTTAAAATGCAGAGTCTCAGGCCCCAATACAGACTAAATCAGAATTCAAACTGAATTGGAATCTGCATTTTAAAAAGCCCTCCCAGTGATTCATAATCACATCAAAGTTTGAGAAGTACTGGTGTAGGTATCAGTGTTTCTCACCTCTGGCTACACAATATATTTATCTAGAGACTTTTGGAAAATGCAGATTCTTGAGTTCTACCTCCTGAGATTTTTATTTAATTAGTCTGAGGAGGACCCAGAATAAATATTTTGAAAAATCACCCCTAAGTAAATAAACTGCATCCAGGAATGAGAATCACAATGCTACATAGGCAAGGGCAGTGATAGGCTACATTTAGTAAGGAATGCCTTTATAGGGGTACTATGAAAAATGAGGCTTAACAATACTCCCTTTCTCCATGGTTACCTTGAGATTAGCACAGAAAACAAATGTGACCTGTCTAGTATGGGGTTTTCTAGCAACAGGCTTAAGAAATGACTATTTCATGTATTCACAAACACGAATGTTGTATTTTCTGTTCTCTGTTACAACTGTAGTTTATTAGCGACTAGCTCTATTTGCATAATGACTATAACCTAACTGGAATATGCTACTCTTAGGGACATGACTCATGTTTCAGTTTTACTCAATGGGAAATAATGTAAATATATATATATTAAAGCAAATGGAGATATTACAGAATAAAATATACCTTTGTCAATTTTAATGATAAAACAAGGCTTCAAAGAAATTTTGTGCTTTTAGTGAACAGTTCAGGCTGTACTCCAGACCTCCTAGTGAAATGGATTTATTTTCCCTCTGCCCTTGGGACTAATTCGGAAGGAAAGTTTGAGGAAAACTGAACCAATGGAATTGTTTGAAATACGACACTCTTAATTGACTTGGTTTCAAACCCTCAGCAGTTGGAAGATCTTGGCTTATCTCAAATGCTAGAAATATTGTAACATTTGTCACTTCAGTCTCAGTCAAGGATCAAATGCCGTATCACAAATAGAAGCTAAAATAAATTCTAAAAGTCTTATTTTTGGTTGACTTAACTTTATTCACATGATAGTTACAGGGGCTGACAAAGACTTCCTTTAACATTTCTTTCTTCTGGCAGGTTGATTTAGAGTTTGGTTGCTGAGTGTGGGTTGAAGGGATGTGTGGTGAGACAGATCAGGGGCTTGTTAACATTCTATGTCATCATGAATCCAGTTTACTGTTAACCTTGTGGCTTGTCTAACACATTTGCAGTAAGAATTGGGGAATAAATCTAATGCTTACTGGAAAACACTTTGAAGCCATTCAGAGAAGCTCTGGAGGCACCCCAGATATTGTGCGAACTGGTCAGAAGTGCCGTGGGATGCCAGAAAAGGCATCCCATGACAGCAGTGGGATGTCAGGGCATACAGAAGACAGCCCTGGAGCATTGCAGTCAATTCCAGGAGCTGTGGCATCTCAGTACTGATAGGACCTCACAAGGAGCCATATAAGGATGACTGTAATCAGGACAACGGTGAAGTTGAGACACAGCTCCCGGGGGGATCTTTCCATTCTCAGAGTGGTGTGGTGAGAACCGAAGGCAAACTTCTGAGGGCACACCAAAGACCTCCGGGTTGTCCTTACCTCCTATCAGAAAGTAACAAAGAAAACATAAGAAATTACTGAGCATTCTTTCCTCAGAGGAAACAGAAGCATTATGGAAGGGAAATGTGTTATAGGCTGAATTGTATCCCCCCCCACCCCCCACTAAATTCACATGTTGAAATCCTAATCCCCAGTATCTTGGGATGCAACTATATATTGTTTTTCAATTGAGAGATGTGGTTACATTTGGAGATAGGGTCTTTCAAGAGGTAATCAAGATGGGTTAAATTAAAATGAGGTAATTAAGATGGGTCCTAATGCAATATGACTGTTATCCTTATAAGAAGAAGAGATTAGGACATAAACATATGCAAAAGGAAGACCATATGAAGACACAGGAAGAAGATCATCATATGCAAGCCAAGGACAGGCCTCAGAAGAAATCGACCCTGCCAATACTTTGATTTCAGATATCTAACCTCCAGACTATGTTTGGACTAGAATTATTACTCTTCTCTGGGTCTCCAGCCTTCAATTTCCCCTGCAGATTTTGGACTCTCCAGCCTCCACAAGCATATAAGCCAATTACATTACACACATATACACACATCCTCCCTATTGGTTCTGTTTCTCTGAGAAACCTTGATTTACACAGTCTTTTTTTGTTTGTTTGTTTTGTTTTCTTTTGACCTGATGTCAAAAAGACCAATACAGTTCTGATTATTTTCCTGTGATGATTGTATTGACGCTTATGGGATTTTCCTCACAGCTCAGTTGGTTAAAAAAAAAAAAAAAAAAACTACTTGCAATGCAGGAGACCCTGGTTCAATTCCTGGGTTAGTAAGATCCCCTGGAGAAGGGATAGGCTACCCACTCCAGTATTCTTGGGCTTCCCTTTTGGCTCAGCTGGTAAACAATCTACCTGCGATGTGGGAGACCTAGTTTCAATCCCTGAGTTGGGAAGATCCCCTGGAGAAGGGAAAGGCTACCCACTCCAGTATTCTGGCCTGGAGAATTCCATGGACTGTGTAGTCCATGGGGTCACAAAGAGTCGGACATGACTGAGTGACTTTCACTTGATAAAATGCAAAATATTGCATTTTTCTTTCTTCAACTTCTGTGTGTATGTGTGTGCATGCTTGCTTGCTTTGCTCCCAGCAAGTAAGGTCAACCAAAACAGAAGAAAAAAAAAAGTTATGGCTTAGAATTTTTCTTGCTTCAAATTACATACAGAGATAGGATACCATAATTTTTCAAGTTTCGAGCTGATCTATCTTTGTCTAACCCTGTGAAAGCACTAAGTAGTTTCAACAGCTGCTTGGCCTCTTGAAATCCCTGCATTGGGCATAGAGCCTACTGGGGTCAACCAAAAGTCCCTCACATAACAGGCACTCAGTCCAAACAGCAAGTGTTAACCCCATGGATACTTCTATTTCAACAAGGGCTTGTGCCAGCTATTTTTAGTCAAGTCCAGGATGTGCTTATATTGTAAACACTTCAAAAAGTGGGGGTGGTATCTTTATAGTCTATATAGATAATACTTGAGGAAAATCATGCTTTGAGAAACATAATATTATTACTTCCAATGATGTTGCATAATTGACACTGTGAATATGCAAACCAAATGAAAGTAAAGATTAAAAATAAAATTTTAAATAGAGCAAAAGTCTACTATGGAGTGGAAAAAGTTTGAGGGGAAAAAGTGTTTTATTTTCTAAAAGTGGAAGTTCAGGGGGAAGAAGTCTCCCCTGAATTATGAATTATAATTACTATATTTCTTTTATTATTAGTGTACCAAATTATTAATTGTATAAACCAGTCAAATGATCCTTTTTAACATTTTATGTTATTGTTGCTATAACACATAAGTTCAGATAAGATTATATTAACAGGTACATTGTTGAATGTTGATTTAAAATATGACCAATGGTAACTGATTCATGTTTCACTTTCCTTCTAATTCTTACTTATATTTTTGCCCTCTACACTTTTTCCAATGAAAATCTTTACAAAGATTTGCTTGAAGGAGAAAGTAAACAGAAGAAAATGAAGTATTAAGGAAGTAGAGAGGATGTATAAGCATGTACACCACAGCAGAGGAGAACAGGAAGTTGATGAATTCAGGCAAGGAGCCTAAGAACAAAAGAATCTAAAGACTCTAAAGCAGATTCTTCCTTATGGATTTATTAATAAAATTAAATCCTGATCCAAACACCAATTTATTTGAGTAAGTCCCAAAGAAGTAAAAAGATATGTAAAACATAAGAGGCCTTATTTACAATGATCAAAACAACCCAACTCAGGGAGGGCAAAATAACTGTCCCATCAAATCTTATGAGACTGTGACCTGACAGGAACGTATTCAGAAAATGTTGCTGAAAGTTGTCCAGAGCTTTGATCGTGTGACCTTCACAACACCTCTGACATTTACAACTCAAACAAGTTTTGTGATTTTTCTCTCTCCCAAGATTATTGCTAAGAAACTGACTTTTAGACAGAGGTTAAGTTGTTTGTGTGATGACACATAGCAAGTTAGAGGCAGAACTAGAACTGGCAAACTGGAAATAGTTGTTGGATTGTGGTTACTCTGTAGGAGTGAAAACATGAATGATAACCACAAATAACTGCCCTGGCTAGTATAAATTTTTGACCTTTGGGAAAACAATTTGACATTTTTAAATTAAGGTTGATAATGTTAATTCTCTTTTATCTGGCTCTTTCATTCCTTCTCTAGAAACTCAAGCACATATATACCAGGATATATATATAAGAATGTTCATAGCAACATTTTCATAATATCCCCAACCTGGAAACAACTCAAATGTTCATCAGCAATAGAATGAATGTGAACTGTGGTATGTTCATACATTTCTATAGAGCAAATAAAACATATGAACTACAGCACCATGTAATAAGATGGGTGGATTTCACAAAAATAACTATGAAGCAAAAGAGGAATTTACAAAAAGAAACACAGAATGCAATTCTATTTCTTCAAAGCCAAAAACAGGAAATTTAATTATATTGTTTAGGAACTCAGACAGAGGTGGTAAAATTCTAAAGAAAACCATGGATAAGACCAGCTCAACAATTAAGATGATGATTACTGATGATAAGGCAAAAGGGAAAAGTGATCAAGAATGGAATTCTGGAGAGTGCCAATGAGAATTTCTTGACCTGAGTGATATGTATACAGGTGTTGCCTTACAATAATTGTTCAAAGGGTGTGTTTTATGGACTCTTCATGTTTTTTTCAATGGTCGCTGAATTGACAGCTACTCATTACACTTCTTTATTACCTATGGTTTACCTCTTACTATATCTTGCACTTTGATGGTAAGCTTAAAATGCTGTTGTTTTGTATGTTTTTAAAGTAATAAAACACAGCATTAAGGTGGGAATTTATAATGAATCCAATCCAATCAACATATAAGCTAACTATCGGGAGTGGGCTCTAATTCCACACACATTTATGCCAAAGTTAAGTAAAACCCCAGATCAGCAATCTTCCATTTTTCTGCTGTTAACCCACAAAGACAATTCTGGCTTCATTTTAAATCTTTCCTGACATCAAGATCACAGTGTATGACTCAAAGTGAAAAAACAAAAGAACTCTGAATAAACTGTTTGATATTGACTTTCTTTGAATGGAGACTTGGAAAAGATGGAAGACATATTTTCCTGTGTGATATTTTTTAATAGGAAGGGAGAAAATGCATGCCATAAGGTGAAAAAAAAGGAAAACAAGAATCAATAATATTCACTTTCTAGCCTAAGAAACACTGTGTACAATAGGCATTGTCTATTTCATTAAGAAATGTAAATATTCCTGTGCTTTTCTTATCTGCAACTTGGACACACATACACACTGTATGCTAAGCTTAAAAATCCTGCTGTTACCTGAATAGGGTCAAGGACACCCTGGGCTGCAGCAGGCTTCTCCTCTGTCTCTCCAACTTGGGCTCCAACTCCTGCTTGTCCCCCAGGCTGTCTGGACTTCTGGGCTCTGGGCAGGGCCTAAAGTAGTCCAAGGGAGGTGGCAATCACTGTGATGTCACTGGTGAAACATCTCGAAGGAACAACCTCCAAAGGTTGTAGGCTATTTGTGTTTAGGGGGCCATGGAAATGTGTTGACTAAGGCTATTCCTTTGGCTGCGAATTTGTATTATTAATAAAAGCTCAAGGGCTTAAAATCCTTTTCTTTCCAGTTGACTTTTGGTATAATTGATGTAGGTTTTAAATTCACCTTTTACATCTTCACAAGTATCTCTAACATGTGTTCAAAACATTGTAAACCAAGAGTGATAGACTAATATCAACAACTTTTTACTGCATCTGGCTGCCTATTCCACTTAGCATATGAGGGTGTAAAAGTGTAACTTCATTTAACCACCCATATTTTCAGCTTTTTTGAAGTATGAAGAATTCTCTGCAGTGCACACGCACTCCTCAAACCACACACATGTACCAGAATTCGAAAGGCATCTTTTAGCTCCTTCAAAATTGACTTTAGTCCAAGTGGTGAAAGCTATCTCCCCAGTCACCTGTTCCACATAACTTTCTGGCTAAGCTGTATGTTGCAAGTTTACACATTAATATACAGTTTCATCTGAAACAGCTGTGGAAACCATGGTTTATATATCTCTGTCAATGTACGAATACAGCAGTAAACCCATACGGCAAAACTCAGTCATTGGGATAGATTGGGGGTAGCAGGAGAACTGGTAAAAACTAGTGGGAAGAGTGAGTTATAGAATATCTCTGAAAGAAATAAAATTGTATAACATTCAAATATAAACATTTACTAAAATTTGACTACTAAAATGAGCTTGTAATAAACATTTTAGGTGTCTGGAGGTAAATGGTGCCTCTGAAGTGTTTAACAGGCCTTCCCTTGTGGCTCAGTGGTAAAGATTCTGCCCACCAATGCAACACACATGGGTTCCATCCCTGGGTCAGGAAGATCCCTGGAGGAGAAAATGGCAACCCACTCAAGTGTTCTTGCCTGGAAAAGCCAATGGACAGAGGAGACTGGCAGGCTACAGTCCATGGGATCACAAAGAGTTGGACATGGTTGGACAAATGAGCACAAAGTGTTTAACTGAACTAAAAAATACATCCATTAAACATGACCCCAGCAATTGTGTTTGTTCATCAAATTCTTTCTTTATAGATAACAGAACAAACTTCCCCTCAGAATACCCAGGCAGAGTCAATCAAAATAATATATTCCCAGAAGACATAAACAAAATTTCCTATGTGTGTCTGCATGCTCGGTCACTTCAGTCATGTCCAACTCTGTGTGACCCTATGGACTGTGGCTCACCAGGCTCCTCTGTCCATGGGATTCTCCAGGCAAGAATACTGGAGTGGGTTGCCATTTCCTTCTCCAAACTTTTCCCCATTATTCCTCATGAACTAGAAATATTACTAAAACAAAAACTTTCCACTCCATGTCTTCATTTTTGATATAAACTCAATGTTGGGGAACCTTAATACAATATTCTCTTGTCACATGCCTTGTAAAAAGACAAGGCTTACTGAAGTGATAGGTAGGATATAGAAATTATAGTTCAGTCAAACACTGGCAAACTCCTTGAATGTAGTCAGATTTCTGTCTTTTGCTTCCAAGCCTTTGCCAGATTGTTTCAAATATTAGGACTGTTTTCCTACTCACTAAGACACACCCATTCCTTTATTAACCACTCAAAATTATTTTTTGTCCAATTAAAAAGATATATTTATTGTAAAATATTGAAAATGTAAAAGTATAAAGAAAATTTAATATCAGCACCCAAAAGGAAAAAAGTTTATATTACCTTTTATTCATGTTTGAGGTTACATAGGCACAATCTCAAATTTGTAAGATATTTTCAGTAAAGGAATCTGATTCTTGAAAAGCCTTTATCTTTTCTAATTCTTGAATAATTAAATTACTTGTACTGTACCATGTGTTGGTATTGGATTTACAGGACAATCATTTATTTTGTATATGTTGGAATAAGAATTAGTTCTCCAATATTTAAAATGCTAACTACAATGGGGAAGGGTTAACATATCACAACACAGCTCACCAATACTGTCAATTTAATTTACTTGGTCAATTTCAATGACCAATGAAATGTAACTGGAAAGATAAAATCCTACTGCTTATTCATGAGTTTGTTTAGTTGTTCATTTGGTTGTCCCATTTAAGTTTGTCTAACATTATGCCAGGGATTGTTGTTCCTGGTGCACTGACAAATTCCCAGATAGAGACTTCAGAAGCTTCTTGATATTAATGGTTTATCCTGTGATAACATGAGAGAGTGAGATAATACTGAGCATTTAGCTTCTTGTTAGTTGACCTAACTCTCTCCTGAAGAATTTGCAAGCCACCCAAAGTCACATGACAGCCATTCAACCCCAAGTTTAACCCTGAGGATCTGCAAGTTCAAAAAAAAAATAAGCATGTTGTCTCTCAATTAAAAGGCTGAAATAATAAGATTTCAAACCTCACTACCAAAGAAAATTTATGTCTTCAGATTAGCTTTACTTAATTCTCTTGGTATTTTCTTTTCTGTGAGCAATTCCCATTACTTAACATTCCATATTAACTTGCTTTCAAGGTGCTGTTCTTCCCATCAGCAGGAGGACATACTAAATTAGTAATCTTTGACATTATTTCTATCCCTGTTAATCTAGAATTTATCCAAAGGCCTTTTGCTAAGAAAACAACATGCACATTGACATTGGTATTGAAGAGCTAATTGGCATTTATTTCTTCCCACCCCATATGTTATATACATTCTTAACTCTAAAATATTATACCCTTTGAAAATCAATGTTGAGTTCTTATGTCTGATTATAAGCTAAACTAACTTATTTAATTTATTTTCAATTTCCATCCCCCCTTTTACTTTGGGAAGCAAAAAGTGAAGACATCATGTCAGTCCATGAATCCATAAGTCTCTGACACAGTGGGAGAATTCAGTAAGGCCCTGATGAAAGGCGATGGGCTCAGCCCATCACAGTAATGATTATGATGATTATGTGCCTCTCTCACCTCCACATCTTCACATTCAACCAATCACAGACCTGCACAGAGAGAAACAGCGTTCTACTATTATCTGTCATTATCCCACACAAGTAGAAACCCGGAGAAAGATGAAACCATATTTCTTGAAGCTCTCTTCATGTCCTTGAAAAATCAATGATTATTATCTGCATTTTAAACCACTTGTGGCACATGTGTGATTTTTATCTCACTAACTGAATTTTAGTTTCAAAAGCAAGGATAGTTGCCTGTATTTCTTTTGTTTCTCTAACCATGCGCTAAACTGATAAAGAATCATAATAGATGTTCTAGGGTATATAGCAAGGGGCTCTATTTGAGCCTCCATCACATCACATCTCCTACCAAGATCTAGACATGTCTGAGCATTTCTGAGCATGCCAGGCAAACCTGGGTGGAGGAAACTGAAGTCAACATCAAATCTATTTGTAAGAGGACCTAGAAGCCACCTGGGAGAGAAAATTCCTTTGAAGGGGAGTCATCAAGAAGATCCATGTGGTTCAGCAACAGGGAGAATATTTAAGCTATTCTGTTGCACATAACTAACAGATGCCCTGTGTTAATCTAGGTCCTGTGAGAAGCAAGATACCAAGATGGGACTAAATGTGCAAAAAGAAAAATATATTGGGGGAAATGCCTGTGAGAGAAAAAAAGGAAGGGAGGTTGGACTATAAGACTAGTTCTAAGGAAAGTTTGACAAAGCTGTTAGGAAACTTCATATCAAACACATCTATCAGAAGTGTCCCATGAATCTCAGGGTGTCCCCCTTTGTATTACTCCCATGCTCCATTCTTGACTGAGAGCAGCCAGGGAAGCAGGGCCTCTGTGCAAACCTGGTTATAATTTCAGAGCACAGCAGCTGGAGTCCACCTCAATTACAGTCACATGTTAGAGGTACCTTCCATGGCCACCAGACTCACACACTACCCATCCTACTCCACAACAGCTTGTTTGGATCCTAGGGGAAGAGACAGAGCTGTGGATAAAAGCTCTATAGCTCTTTGACAATTGAGCTCAGCAGTGGAACACTGAAAGGGACAGAGATTCTCCCTCTACCTGTGACTTCTCGTGGACCTCGTGTATCCATGGAATCAGCAATGTAATGTCCTTCCACTGAAGTGTCACGGAGCCTGGCAGAAGCAGAAATACTGATCAAGACTTCCTTGCAGTTTATATTAAGCTGTGCAGGCCTTAGTTGCAGATGGCAGCAGAGAAGAACTTGAGCTAAAGGGCAAGAAAATGGCAGGCATTATGTGGTAGCTGACAGTACGTGTGCATGAGCACATGTCAACCACCCCCTAAAGTTGCTAGAAATAATCAGGAGGAACATTACAGGGGCATGCAGTCTTGCATAACAAATGGGAGCAAAAGCCAGAAAAATACGTATTAGTTCTGTTTATAATAACCCATTTTAAGTCCTGGATTGGTGAGGTGACACCTGTTAACATCATTTGACTTGGAACCAATTAAATTACTCTTCTCTGGAACAAGTGTATTTCTGGTCTATAATAAGATTCTGCAAGCAAACAGCTTTCTCTCAGCCCATTAAACATAGCTGCCGAAGGGGAGAAAAACAAAGGAGCAGCCCCAAAAGTGTATTTGCCACTAGGCTATATACCAACTGCCTTCAAAACACTCTCAGATTTCAGATTGGTTTTGTTATGTTTCTGACGGGAAATAAAAATTCAGCAGATTTTTGATGTGCTGTTACTGAGTAGTTCAGTGAGATTCTAGCCAGGCACGCCCACTTGAAACATTCTGTTCTTAGTGAATTTGATCAAGAATATTTTTTCTAAATCTCTCTTGAGAATCTGTCAGTCAGGATAACATGATTGTAGTCTCAGTAAGAATGAAATAGATCAATTGATCAGACAAAATTGCTGGGTTTTCTCTGTAAACAAGTTTATTTGGTTTTAGCTTTTGGCTATTAAAGTGGAGAGAATAGAGTCATGAAAAATCATGA